TTCAATATCTTTTTCTTGCTGGGTAGTTAGGGTTATTTCTTGTAGTCTTTTTCTGTTTACTCCATTTCGGTTTCAATGATCGTCGGAAAGAGTTGACTGTTGAATTGACTTGCATTATTTATTTAGTCATCGAATAGTTTAGTGCATAAAATATGAGGTCATTAAATGTAATAATTTGTAGTTAGTATTAGTAATCACAAATAATAAAGTTCTAACAATCTAAATATAAGGTCGATGCAAATCTCTTGTATAAACTAGTCTGTTCAACTTAAATAAAATCTTTGCCTTTATATCGTGATTCCTCTTAGCCTGTTCGTTACAGTTTGAACAGACTAACATCCAGAATCCTGACTCTGATTTTCTTGTCTCGTGTTTATACAAACTTCCTTAGAAGAGAGTAATCGATCTTGTAATATAACAATTAGAATGGATGGCCAACTTGACCTTAACACTATCTTAGCTGCACTAAACCAGATCCAAATGGATAACCAAACACTTTATCAGGAAAATGTAGAATTAAAAAACATTATTGATCAACTTCGTGGTCAAGGAGGGGAAAATATACATTACAAAGAACCAAAGGTTAGCCTTCCGGATAAATTTGATGGGTCACGAGCCCAATGTAGAGGCTTCCTAAACCAAGTTCGATTAGTAATTCGCATGCAACCTAATCGCTATCCAAATGACTAAGCGCAAGTGGGTCTACTCAGAAGTTTACTTACTGGGCTAGCTCTTGTCTGGTTTGCACCATTATTGGAAAACAGATCACTATTACTAGAAACTTTCACAGAGTTGGTTAGTGAGTTTGAAGCTACATTCGGTGATGCAGACAAATCCAGAACAGCATCGAATAAAATTCGAAAACTTACCCAAAGGTCCAGACCAGCTTCGAGCTATGCTTCCAAATTTCGGCAAATTGCTGGTGACTTGAATTGGGGCAAAGCAGCTCTGATTGACCAATTTAGAAATGGACTCCGAAATGATGTAAAGGATTTGCTTCTTACTGTTGGAGACCCCACCTCTCTAAATGATGCCATTACAAAAGCAGTTAGGTGTGATAATCGGTTGTTTGAGTGGAAACAAGAACGATTATGTGGTCTAACCTCAGAACAATACAAACCACAAGCTTTTAATAGCTCTGCAGCCCCCATTGGTGTGCTCATGCAAATAGACACCATAAGGTTCAGGCCATTGTCTGAGGAGGAGAAGAGACGACGTCGCATCAATAACCTTTGCCTTTACTGTAGTGACCCAGAACACATCGTTAGGAACTGCTCTAAGAAAAATAATACACTACCCAGAATCGGTGCTCTAGTTGCTACAGATGAATTGTCAGGAAAAGAAGAGACCCAGTCGCAGTAGGGGGCTTCGACTGGACTATACAATTAGTTCATCCTCTGAAAAAATATCACCTAACAAACCTGTATTCGCGCTTACCCTAACATTATATCTTCACCTGCCTGATGGTGCTCAAATAAACTTACAAGCTTTAATTGATTTGGGAGCTTCAGCATGTTTTTTGGACACAACCTTGGCCCAAAAATATAACCTACCTACTGTTGAAAAGGAAACACCACTATCAGTGGAGGTGGTTGATGGTCGGGAAATCTCATCTGGTACTGTGACCCACGAAACAAGACCACTGCTTTTGCACTTTCAAGATCATTATGAGAAAATCTCCTTCAACCTTATTCCATCTCCCCATTATAAAGTGATCCTGGGCTTACCTTGGTTAGTTTCACATAACCCTGAGATAAATTGGCGCAAGCGATCTATTACCTTTTCTGATCCAATCTGCAAAGACCACCTCTCTAGTGCAACACCACTAAGAACCGATACCACGGGCGGAAAACAAATTTTTATGGTCCAGGTTTTCACCGCCATAGCAACTAGCTCATGTTCCTTGGAATTGCCGGTCCTTCCTGAAAAATATAAGGAGTTTAGTGATGTATTCAACAAGAAAGAGGCTGACAAGTTGCCAAAAAATCGACAGTATGACTGTGCCATTGATTTGTTACCCGAAAAGCAACCTCCATGAGGACCAATTTATGAACTTTCAACACAGGAGCTCGAAACATTGAGAAAATATATTGAAGAAAACCTTGAAAAAGGGTTCATTAGACATTCACAATCACCGGCAGGAGCCCCTGTACTGTTTGTCAAAAAGAAAGACGGCACTTTGCGTATATGTGTTGATTACCAGGGTCTAAATCGTATTACGATTAAAAACCGTTACCCACTCCTGTTGATACCTGAATTACTAGACCGTCTTGCCTCTGCTCGAGTTTTTACAAAAATTGATCTGAGAGGAGTATACAATTTGGTTCGCATAAGACTGGGGGATGAATGGAAAACAGCTTTTCGTACACGATATAGGCATTTCGAGTACTTGGTAATGCTTTTTGGGCTCACCAATGCACCAGCCATATTCCAACATTTAATGAATGACTTATTTAGAGACCTTTTGGACCGATTCGTAATAATTTATTTAGATGATGTCTTAATATTTTCGTCTGATCAAAAATCTCATGACCAGCACGTAAAGTTAGTATTAGAATGACTGCGCAAAAATGGCTTGTTCGCTAAGTTAGAAAAATGTGAATTTGATAAGGAGAGTGTGGACTTCTTGGGTTACCATATCACCCACTAGAAGATCCAAATGGACTCAGGGAAAGTTGAAAGCATCCTTACCTGGCCTATTCCAACCTCAGTTCGAGAGGTGCAACGGTTTTTGGGATTTGCCAACTATTATCGGTATTTCATCAGAAATTATTCCCAATTAGTTACACCCTTAACTAATCTAACACGAAAATCTCAAGCAAAAACTTTCGTCTGGGGTCCTGCAGCTCAATAAGCCTTTATCTCGTTAAAGAAGGCTTTTACTTCCGCCCCAATACTGGTACAAGCTGACCCAGCAAAACCATATTTCCTTGAAACCGACACCTCTGATTATGCTCTTGGGGCGGTCCTATCCTAATTGCATGAAGAAAAACTCCACTCTATCGCCTATTATTCATGAAAACTTACCCCAGCAGAGATTAACTATGACTTCCATGACAAAGAATTGCTGGCAATAATAACAGCCTTCAAGCAATGGCGGCACTATCTGGAAGGGGCCCAACACGAAATCACTATTTACTGCGATCACAAAAATTTACAATACTTTACCACTGCAAAAAATCTTAGTCGTCGTCAAGCCAGATAGTCCCTACTCCTCTCAAGTTACAATTTTAAGATTGTGTTTCGATCAGGAAAGGAACAAGGAAAATCCGATGCTTTGTCTAGAAGATCGAATTACCAACCTCAAAATAGCGATGAAACAGTGACTCAGCAACACACTATATTGTTAAAGACCCAAAACCTTTATATAAGTGCTACCTTCACAACACCAATTAATACTGCCATGAGGGACCGAATCCGTAACCAGTTGAGGAGTGACCCACTAGCTTTAGATATAATTAAACACAAAGAACTCCCTGATAATGGTGGTTCAAATAAACGTTCCGATTACCATATGTTTCAATTTTCTGATGGGTTATTGTTCAGAGAAGGCCTATTGTACATACCAAACATATCAGAAAGGTTAGAAGTGTTGCAAAACAGGCATGATTCAAAGTTAGCAGGCTACTTTGAGGTGGCGAAAACAATAGAGCTAATAACACAGGATTATTAGTGGCCAAAGCTTCGCTTTTTCATCAAAAACTACATTAAATCTTGCGATACTTGTGCTAGATCCAAAATTTCTAGGCATCGCCCTTATGAGTTACTAGCCCCCTTGCCTATACCCACACATCGATAGCAGTCTATTTCTATGGATTTTATCACAGATTTACCTTCATCTATGGGGTTTGATTCCATTCTTGTCGTCATTGATCGACTTACTAAAATGGCATATTTCATCGCATGCAATAAAAACATTGACGCGAAACAAACAGCACATTTAGTATTAAGAGAAGTGATACGACTTCATGGAGTTCCAAATGACATCATCTCAGATAGGGGGCCACAATTTGCTTCTAAATTCTGGAAGCACCTTTTTAACTTATTGAGAACCCAAATTAACTTATCTTCGGCCTACCACCCTCAGTCAGATGGGCAAAGTGAAAGGGTTAATCAGGTGTTAGAGCAATATTTAAGATGTACAATCAACTATCATCAAGACAATTGGATTAACTTATTACCACTAGCAGAGTTCGTATATAACAATTCGGTCCATGCGTCTACCAAGACTACACCCTTCTTTGCTAATTATGACTTCCATCCTCATTTTGACTTACAGACACCATTCCATACTACAGTTCCTTCTGCTGAAGACAAGGCCGTTCAACTACAACAAATAAAAGAGATGCTTATTAGAGAACTGGAAAAAGCCCAAAAACGCTATAAGAAAAATGCAGATCAACGACGCCAAGAAAGCCCTAACTTCAATGTTAGTGACAAAGTCTGGCTTTTAAGCTGTAATATTTATACTACACAACCATCTAAGAAATTGAACTATCAAAAACTGGGGCCATATACTGTTTCAGAGATAATTAACCCAGTTGCATATCGTTTAATGTTACCCCCCAATTCTAAAATCCATAATACTTTCCACATCTCTTTGCTAAAACCTTATATTGCAAATACAATTCCTGGTAGGTTGCTAGCACCACCACCTCCAGTGGTCATAGAGAATGAAAATGAATATGAAGTAAACGAAATACTTGATGCAAAATTAATTCGAAAGAAACTACACTACCTGGTTGATTGGAAAGGATATGATGCTAATGAATGCTCCTGGGAACCTGTTGAAAATGTAGCCCATGTACGAGAAGCTGTCGAAGTCTTTCACCAACAATACCCTGACAAACCAAGAGCAAGAACGGTAAAGTATAAAAATAATAAAAAGATAATAGGGAGGTCTTTAAGGAAGGGATGGTGTAATAACCAAGCCTCAAACCCAAGCTCTACGCAGGCCCGTGATCTGGGCTCGTGACCATAGTCTATGATCGGAGCTATCACAAGTACTCCTCTGATGCACAAATTATGAAGTCATTAATTAATCATAGCGATAGCGGAAGTTAAATGAAAGGCAATTAACTTGCATTATTTATTTAGTCATCGAATAGTTTAGTGCATAAAATATGAGGTCATTAAATGTAATAATTTGTAGTTAGTATTAGTAATCACAAATAATAAAGTTCTAACAATCTAAATATAAGGTCGATGCAAATCTCTTGTATAAACTAGTCTGTTCAACTTAAATAAAATCTTTGCCTTTATATCGTGATTCCTCTTAGCCTGTTCGTTACAGTTTGAACAGACTAACATCCAGAATCCTGACTCTGATTTTCTTGTCTCGTGTTTATACAAACTTCCTTAGAAGAGAGTAATCGATCTTGTAATATAACAATTAGAATGGATGGCCAACTTGACCTTAACACTATCTTAGCTGCACTAAACCAGATCCAAATGGATAACCAAACACTTTATCAGGAAAATGTAGAATTAAAAAACATTATTGATCAACTTCGTGGTCAAGGAGGGGAAAATATACATTACAAAGAACCAAAGGTTAGCCTTCCGGATAAATTTGATGGGTCACGAGCCCAATGTAGAGGCTTCCTAAACCAAGTTCGATTAGTAATTCGCATGCAACCTAATCGCTATCCAAATGACTAAGCGCAAGTGGGTCTACTCAGAAGTTTACTTACTGGGCTAGCTCTTGTCTGGTTTGCACCATTATTGGAAAACAGATCACTATTACTAGAAACTTTCACAGAGTTGGTTAGTGAGTTTGAAGCTACATTCGGTGATGCAGACAAATCCAGAACAGCATCGAATAAAATTCGAAAACTTACCCAAAGGTCCAGACCAGCTTCGAGCTATGCTTCCAAATTTCGGCAAATTGCTGGTGACTTGAATTGGGGCAAAGCAGCTCTGATTGACCAATTTAGAAATGGACTCCGAAATGATGTAAAGGATTTGCTTCTTACTGTTGGAGACCCCACCTCTCTAAATGATGCCATTACAAAAGCAGTTAGGTGTGATAATCGGTTGTTTGAGTGGAAACAAGAACGATTATGTGCTCATCAAATTCTGGTCTAATAAAACACCTTTTGCATATGCTGTCTTTATATACATTCAGTTTTCTATTATTTAATACTTTGACAGTAGGAAGTAGATTTTCGATACACTTTACTTTAAATATACGTAAGTGATTTGCTTTCATACTTCTACTTTGCTGCTTATAACAGCTTCTTAACAAGTCTTTGAATGCTTTCCAATTTTGGCTTTTGAGACGATACTGGTGCTAGTTATCATTTTTTTTCCATAACCAAGTCCATTTTGCCTTGTATGTTGTTTGAACTAAATTCTTAACAAATGTTCTTAGTGGTGTGTCTAGCTTGCAACCTTCCTACTCTAGAATAAACTTAATATTTTTGACGCTGACATTGTTAACTTTTAGCATTATATCTCTATTTGCATCTTCTTTTGCTAGCTGATCTGCTATGTCATTATATAGGTCACCTGAGTACGCCTTTACTTTAGTCAACTCTAGTTGTATTTTCTTGCTTCTGCAAGCTTTAACTATTACTCGCAAAAGGCTATTATTTTTGGTTTTAAGCCAGCGTCATGTGCTTTTATTCTTTAGACTTTCTGTTATTGCAGATATTGCACATGTGCTATCTGTACGTATTTCTACACTGCATTCATTTGGTGCTATTAATATTGCCATTAAACATGCTGCTAGCTCTGTTCGAATTGATGAGAACTAGTTTCTAATTCTACCTTTATGACTACATACTACTTCATTTTGCTCATCTATTTGTTTACTAAATTTTACTTTAAGTCTTTTTTTATATACTAATTTTAGTTTATTTTATTTTGTTTTTTTTATAAGTTATAATAACAACTCTATATCTTCTTATTCAAAATATCTACTCTTACTTCAATTAATTTTAATACTTTTAACTTTAATTATTTTTACTCTAGTTATACTAGTAGTTATAATATTATATTTAATAAAAAAAATCATAATAATACTTGATCTATTCTTACTAATTTTAGACTAATTAACTGTATTACCAAAATTCTTTATAGTAATATCTAAATTAATATATTTTATCAAAGCTTCAAATACTATAACTATTGCTATTTACTTTTGTTATAAATATTATACTAATTTTATTATATTAAATAAAACTGAATTCAACTTTTTTAATATAACAAATTTTACTAAATTTATAGAAAATTTTGTTAACAAAAAAACCAAACTTATTCTTGAAAACTTAAATAAAATTATTTAATATATTTCTTCTTCTTTTGCATTAATTTTCTATAAATATATATACAAAAAATACTGATTTGCTATTTAATACAAAATTACTAACAATTAATATTATTTCTCAAATGATATAAAATTTTAATAAAATAAAATTATTTATTATAGCTATACTATCACAACTACTTTAACTACTTCTACTAGCTCTTTAATAGCAATAATATTTTATTAATACAAAAGATTTTAATACTATTAAAAAAGATTTTGTATTTATTTTTAAATAAACTTTTTAATAAACTAGATTTATATTTAATATTACAACTATTCTAACTATTTTTTCTAAATCTACTATACAAACTAGTCTTTCTATTAAGAAACTTGTTTCAAAAGTATTAGTATAATATGAAAATTTATTAATATTTAAATCTATTAAATATACTAATTTTTTTAGTAATATTTAGATCTTATTATAATATAATAACTTAACAACTAGTTAATTTTCTAACTTAACAACTAATCTAACTATTAATATAAATATTAATACAAACTCTATTTTAACTATTACTAAAACTAATACAAATATTTTAAAATCTAATACCAAACCAAAATAGCAAACTATTAATAAAAATAAAGTTTAAAATATAAAATAGCCTCAAACTTCTAATACTACAAACTTAAATATACAAAAAAAATCTAAATCTGTCTTTAATTAGCTATATAATTTTTTTTATTTCTAATAAAATAAAGGCTAATATTAAACTACAAACTTTATTATCTAAATAACTTTTTGATTTTTTTAAAACAAATTTATATAACTTTATTTTAAAAAAAGCAATCAAACTAGTAACTAAAACTAAAAAAGTATTAAAAGCTAGTTTTTATCAAATTATCTAAAATATAGCTAAATAATAGCCTAAATTTTTAACTAATATAATCTTTTAAAGTATTTTTAATATTAACAAAAATATATATATGAGATTCAATTAACTCTTTCTAATGATCCTTTTTTCTAAAAATTCGAAAAAGCAAAAAACAAAAATTTATGGAGGAAGATGAAGAAGTTTCTTTTATAATATAATAGTTTTTACAAAGGTCAACTACTTTCTCTTAGAGACTCCTTTATATATTCAACATGCCAACTAAAAGTGATATTATACAAGATAACTAGCAGGTGAAGCTCTTGTATAAAAAATTTTAGTAAAAAGACGAAAGAGTTCTTTGTTAATAAAGTTAGTAAAAGAAAACTTAAGAATAAGAAACAATAAATTATTTTGTCTATACATTCCTTTGGACTTTAAAAAGCAATAATATACTGCAAGCTTTTTCTTCTAGTCTCTTTTTTTTTTAACAAAAAGTAGGGAATTTGGTTTTCCTCCTCCAAAAGATCAGTATTGTTTACTTTTTCCATTTTTAGAAAAACACTGTAGATATGCAACCTTATGCAGTAAACAAAGTCATGTATTCTGTTTGGCAAAGTTACGTACTTTGTGTTTATAAAATCATATACTTTGTTTACTTGTTTAGTCTATTACATGACCTCAGTACTATAGATTCTAAATTTTAAGGATAGATTGTATATTAGAAAGAAAAACATTCAAGATAGATTATAAGTTGCACAACTTAAAATTTTTAAGCCTGACCTAGGTTATAGGATATCTAGTTACTTTTTTTATTTTTCATCCCTTCTATTATATTACTGCATAACAAAGTTTTTATAACTTAGAGCAAGTTTTTTTTTGTTAGTAAGCTTAGTACTTTTAGATTAGTAACAATTTTTATTTTTTTCTGCTACTAGGTATTAATATCTTTTAATTTAACTTTAGTTAGATTAGGAAAAACCTAGTTTTGGTAGTCTGATATTATAGTTCTGGTTCTAATAACTAGTGCGACAGGTTATACTTGAGCATTCTTAGAAGTAGCTAAGTAATGTTAAACTTATAAAATTAGATAAAATTTTTCTTTAAGTTCAATATATAATGAGTAGTGTTATCAAATGAGTTTTAGTAATTTTATCTTTATTTTATATTCATTAATTAGTTATTCTTTATTTGTATTTTATGA